TATATATATATATATATATATATATATATATATATATATATTGCTTCCTTGTCAAAAATCAGATGTTTAAAGATGTGTGTATTTATATTTGGGTCTTCTATTTGGTTCCATTGGTCCTCCTGTCTGTTCTTATGCTAGTACCAGGCTGTTTTCAGTGCTGTAGCTCTGTAGTAGAGTTTTAAGTCAGGGATTGTGATGCCTCCAGAAGTTGTTGTACAGGATTGTTTCGGCTATCCTGGGATTTTTGCTTTTCCATATGAAATTGAGTACCGTTCTTTCAAGGTCTTTGAAGAATTTTGCTGGTATTTTGTGGATAACTCTTATATCTTAAATTAACCCATTTCTATTAATCTGTGTATCACCACATTATTGTGGCTTACCCATAAGGTTCCGCCCGGCATCTGTCTCCTGGAGCAGCTATATCAGATTTACTACCTGGCTATATTATGCTCTGCTATAGGCCCAAAGCAGCTTCTTTATTAATCAATGGTAATAAAACATACTCACAGCATACAGAGGAGAATTCCACATCACCCAGTTTTTCTTTCTTATTGTGTTCTTTGTTTCATTTTTCCAGTAAAACTTCCTTAAAACAGTTTAAACAAAAGAACAGTGGAGCAACCCTAGAGAATCTAAATAACAAGGTGAACCCTAAGAAAAATATATATAGATCATCCACCTGGGAAGGGAAAATAGACAAGATCGCCTGACAAAATTGGGAGCATTGCAGGTAGTAGAAGGGAGTGGGGAAGAGGAGCAGGGAGGAGAACTTGAGGGAATAGTATAGTCAAGATGGAGAAAGGACAGAGATGGAGTGCAAGGAAAGAGATATTTTGATTGAGGGGAGGCCTTACGAGATTAGCAAGAAACCTGGCACTAGAGATTCCCAAGAGTGACCTTAGCTATGACCCTAGGCAGTAGTGGAAAAGGTGTCCTGTATTCAGATTGATGGATATCTTAAATGTCACCATAGAACCTTCATCCAACAACTGATGGAAACAGAGGCGGACACCCACAGTGGAGCACTGGGCTAAGCTCCCAAAGTCCAGTTGAAGTGAAGGAATAAGAACATGAGCAAAGAGGTCAAGACCATGTTGGGGACACCCACTGAAACCGTTTACCTGAGCTAATGGGAGTTCACCAACTCATGCTGGACAGGGAAGGAACCAGCATAGAACCAAACTGAACCCTCTGAATGTGGGTAACAGTTGTATGGCTGGGCCAGACTGCAGGGCAACTAGCAGTGGCACCAAGATTTGTTCCTACTGCTTGTATTGGCTTTTGGGGAACCACTCTCTGGATGGATACCTTGCTCAGCCTAGATAAAGTAGGGAGGCCTTGGACCTTCACCAAAGCAATGTGTCTTACCCTCTCTGAGGAGTGGATGGGGGTTGGAAGGTGGAGGAAATGAGAAGAAGGGAGGAACTGGGATTAGTATGTAAAATGAAAAAAAGATCGTTTGTTTTCTTTGAAGAAAAGAACAGTGGAGGACTGTTTAGAGAGTCGTTCAACTTGAATTTTCAAAACTTGCATTAAAATAGAATTTATCTGGTTGGATTTTGTTTTCATTTGAGACAGCTCAAATTCAGGGTCTTGTACATACTAGGCAAACACTCTCTCTTCCTCCCCTTTTCTCACTCTTTTTCTTTTTGAGGCAGGGTCTCACATGCACCTCTGGCTATATGGCCTGGAACTTGCTATATAGATCAGTCACACTGGCCTTAAACTTAGAGGTCTGCCTGTCTCTGCCTTTCTAGGGCTGCTTTAAAGGTGTGTGCCACCACACTCAGCTCCCTCCCCATCCTACTACACATTTGGCTTATTTTTGTGGTGTTTATCAGCTAGGGGAGGAGGGTACAGACGTGTATGTGGTCAGAGGATAACTTGATGGAGTTGGTTCTCGCTACCATTTACATTGATTTTGGAGTTCAAACTCAGGTCATAAGGTTTACACAGTAAAGGTTGTACCACTGAGCCAATTAACTGGCCATGATTTTCGTAGTTTGTGTCTGTTGTAATTAGGGAACTGTGCAGGATGTGAGCCATCAATGAAGAGTTTGAGGAAACGTATCTGTGATGGCTGTAACAAAAGAAGTCAGCAACAGAACTTAAGAGTTAAATAAATTCAGATCAACTATCTGAAAACAAAACCTTCTCCGAAACACATTGTGGGTGATGGTGCGTGTATCTGTGTACACACATGACATATTTAAGTATTTTTAAGTTATTGTTGTAGACTATAGAGAAGATATTGTTATAGACTATAGAAAGTACAACCAGAATGTATGATGACAAAACATTCTTAATTACTGAGAATATAATGAAGGAACAGTTTATTATAGAGGAAGGTGGTTAATAGATTTTTGACAGATACCGATATAGAATAAGACTTTTCTTCAGAATAATTCTGTTTCTCTCTTAAGGTATCCAAGCCCACCAATGGGTTCTGTCTCAGCACCCAACTTGTCTGCAGCAGAAGAAAATGTGGAATATGTACGGACTCTCTATGACTTTCCTGGGAATGATGCTGAAGACCTCCCCTTTAAAAAGGGCGAGATTCTAGTGATAATAGAAAAGCCTGAAGAACAATGGTGGAGTGCCCGGAACAAGGATGGCCGGGTTGGGATGATTCCTGTTCCTTACGTTGAAAAGCTTGTGAGGTCTTCGCCACATGGAAAGCATGGAAATAGGAATTCTAACAGTTATGGCATCCCAGAACCTGCTCATGCGTATGCTCAACCTCAGACCACAACTCCTCTACCTACAGTTGCCAGTACTTCTGGGGCAGCGGTCAACCCTTTGCCATCCACACAGAATGGACCTGTCTTTGCAAAAGCAATCCAGAAGAGAGTACCCTGTGCTTATGACAAGACTGCTTTGGCATTGGAGGTAAAAATCTATAAAGGCTGGCCCTTGACCATGGGTTTTCATTTTTAATTTTAAGTTAGTCATCCCTTTAAAGTCACTTATTTTCTTGAGAATTGGCCTGGGGATTTCAGAGCTTACACTATTAATGTCTTGTCCTTTCCTAGTCGTCATGTCAGCCCAGGTTCCCAGCCTGCCTGCTCTCTTTTCTGCTCCCAAAGCTCATAGGTAGTTGGTTTTCTTTCCAGCAAAGGAAATAATTAGAAAGACCCATTACCTATGAGCTAAATTAGCATTCAGAGATACAGTACTAGTTGTATAAATCCATATCTCTGACATTGTAATTAAGGATCAATCCAAATAAAATGTCTTAAAATTTAACTAGGCGGAGAAATGAGTTTAAAATATATCAGCCCTTGCTTGTTACAGATTTTGTAAGTCATAACAGTATGAAGTAGAACTTAAAAACTGTTACTGTCATGGTTTTGTTTTGGGACAGGGTTTCCCTTTGTAGCCCTGTCGGTCCTGGAACTCGATCTATAGACAGGACTGGCTTGAAGTCAGAGATCTGGCTACCTCTGCCTCACTGGTGCTGGGATTAAAGACCTTTGCCAACATTAGCATTGTTTCTGTGACTTGCTTAAATAAGACAGAAAGTCCTGAAGTTGATGAGGTTATTGGAGAGGCTGCTGTCTTAAAAATTTGAGGTTTTTTTATTTGTTTGTTTTGGTTTTTTCAAGACAGGGTTTCTTTGTGTAGCCCTTGTTGTCCTGGAACTCACTCTAAAGACCAGGCTGGCCTCTAACTCACAGAGATCTGTCTGCCTCTGCCTCTGAGTGCCGCAATTAAAACAGTGCACCACCACTCCCTGGCTTACAAATGAAATTTCAAGGAACATTTCTTGAGCAAACATATATTGCTTAGCATTTCCTTTTTGCTTGTTTAAGTGAAGCAACAACATAAAAATTTGTTGTGCTGGGATTAAAGGCATGCAACACCACTGCCTAGGGTAGCCTTCAGTTCTTGCTTCTCCCACATCTGCATTTAGATAGCACATATTGCGTGGTTACAGATAAAAGTCAGCTGTAGGGATAGAGAGATAGTTCAACACTTAAAAGCACATATTGGTCTTGAAGGGGTCTGGGATTAAGTTCTCAACATCCACGTTGAGCAGTTCACAGTGGTTTGTAATTCCAGCTCCAAGGGGATCCACTGTCTCTGGCTTCTTCAAGCACCTACACGCACACACCCATAAGTCAAATAAATGTATTTTTAAAATTAACCATAATTCATTTATATATAACTTTCTACTTGTCTTTGAACCAGGAATAATATCTAAGTGAGTTAGATTTGAAAATTTGTTTCAGGGTCAGTGACTGTATCTCTTCTTTTGACTAGAAAAAAGAGTGTTCGCCTTATGTTTGCAGCTTACATCAGGGACCAGGATTGAGGAGGGGTCCAGTTGTGTTTAGAACAGGAAAGAAACCAGAATAAGAGCCAGGCAAGGTGGCACTTGCCTATAATTTCAACACTCAAGAGGCTGAGGCAGGAGGAGTGAGGATTTGAAGTCTAATTAACTGATCAGACTTCTGCCATCATGAAACAAGTGTGTCTCACTCTCCCTTTTTCCTCCCTCCCCCTTTCTTTCTTTCTCATTTTGTCTAACACACACACCCCTCTTAGAGATGGGATCTCATTATGTAGTCTGGCTGTCCTGGAACTTGCTACATAGACCAGACTGAACTCAAAGATATCCACCTGCCTTTGCTGCCCAAGGCATTTGCTACCACACCTGACCCTTTCATTATTATTATTTTATATGTATGGTGTTTTGCCCGTATGTCTCCTTTACATATGTCTGTGCACCGTGTACATGCAGTGCTCTTGGAAACCAAAAGAAAGTGTTGGATCCCCTGGAAGTAGAGTTACAGGTAATTGTGAACCACCACATAGGGGCTAAGAATTAAACTCGGGTCCTCTAGAAGAGCAGCCAGTGCTCTTAACTGCCGAGGCATCTCTCCATCCTCTATACACCCCTCTTGACTGGTCCACATCTCACCGATGGATCTTTGGGCTGGTTCTGGGTGTGGTAGCACATACTTGTAATCCCAGTACTGGAGAAATAGAGGCAGGATTAGGAGCCAGGCTAGATAATAAGAGACCCTGACTCAGAGAAACAAAACAAATGAAAATGAAATACCATCTTGTTTGCCTTGTGGCTTCAGCCTTTTGAGATAGTTGTCATCTCATAATAGAACTCAGAATACATTAGGGTGAAAGCTTTCAGGCACTGGTTCATTGAACTCTGATTCTGTTTTGTTTTGTTTTCTAGACAGAATTTCACTATGCATCCAGGCTAGCCTTCAACTCTGTTGACTGTCCTTCTGCCTCAGCATCTTTGAGTGCTAAGATTATGAGACTACACTAAGTATGCCTAGCTTGATCTTTGATTCTAAGAGAATGTTTTAGATGGTATCTGCTGTATGGATGCATTCCTTGGTATGTTCAGAATAGGGCTGGAAGATAGTGTTACAGAGGAATGGCCTGGAGCTTTTTAAGAGAGCCAGACTAATAACGTATATTTTAAGCTAACAAACATACTTGGTGGTTACACAGCTCCCCTACCCTTTCAAACTCCAGTTTTCCTGACGCTGACCCAGCTGTCACCAACCCATCATCACAGGCTTTATTTGGTGCTTCACTGCAAGACTCTGTTAGTGGAACCTAAAAGACCTTTACTGCTCCACTGAGGATGTTTCTAACCAAGCTGTTGGCTATAGCATAAGAAATAAATGTTCCTCTGCTTGTGCTGTCTTCTAAAACTATTCAGATAGTAATGCCTGTCTGATCTTGTTAAGGAAAACAATTCTCTCTTGGGACTGTTCCAAGTAGGTTATTAGTGAAAGTATTAAAATTAAGTTGAGGAACATTGACAAAAGTAGGGCAAAATGTACCAGTAATTGGAACTTCTTTATCCCCTTGGGTAGTATTAAGGAGAAGAATGAGCGCTGGTGAGCAGTAGTCCCTAAATTATTTCACAAATTTTTGTTCTTTTGTTTTTTTCTTGTAAAAATATTTGGGGGTGGGAATGTAGATCAACCCTCAGTTTGATTTCCAGCATTACAAAGTTTAAATAAGTCAACTTTCAAAAAAATTCCCTTCAGTAGAGACAGTTTAAAAAATGTTAGCTATTTTCCTCTTGCTTCTCGTGAAGTGACATGTATAAAAGAAGTGTAGATGCGTGTCCTTACTCCTTGGCGACAGAGCTAGCCAGGTCTGTTGGTGCAGGCCTGGAATTCCAGCTACTTGAGGGGCTGAAGCAGGACGATAAAAAGGTTAAGACCATCCTGGGAATCTCAGTGAGACCTTGTCCCAAAAAGTTAAAAAAAAAAAAAAAGTTGGGGTGTCATTGAGTGGTAGTTTCATCTCCAGTATGAAAGAAAGAAAAAGGAAAGGAAAGAAGACAGTAGAGCTCTCCATCGACCTCCGTGGAGCCACAGAGGGTTGTTATGAAAGCCCATCCTATGCCGCAGGAAAGTTCCCAGACTGAGGGACTCAAGCTAGCCTGCCCTTTTTGAAAGATCTGTATGTAGTACACCTGAAGGCCAGAAGAGGGTGTCAGATCCCGTGGTGCTGGAGTTTCAGGCAGTTGTGAGCTGCCTGACATGACTAAGCTTTCTGCTGAGCCATCTAAAGGATCTCTAATCAGAAGACAACAGCTGGAGCAAGAGTGCTGTTGTTATAGAGTACTTGTAGTCAGAGCTACTTGTCTGGGAAGCAAGGTAGGGAAGTAGCATGGGCCTATTTTACATCCTGGCATTTATGGATATAGTTTTGGGCAAATTCCGTAAGTTCTCTTAGCAACCTGGCTGGAAACATTGATGTTTATCCATTATCTGTCCATTCATATAACTAACTAGAGTGGTGACATCCAAGGAGCTGGCCACTGTGAAGAAAGGGAGACTTGGGGAGCCGGGATAGGCAGGTGGTCTGAAAAGGCTTCTTGGAGAACGTAACTCTGGGATTGAATTTTGGAGGATGACTACAGCTAGCTGGTGAACCAGAGAAGGCAGGGGAAAGAGTATGCAGGAAGGGCCTTGAAACACTACTGAGTAACTGCCAGTAAATGCACATAGAGAGCAGGTCGGGTAAAGGGCCATTGTGGCCAGAGACAGCAGGAGGAGCAGGTTTTCACATGTTACAGAAGAGCTAGTAAGATTTACATTTTTCTTGGCATTGCTTTTATTCAAAGTATGAAACAATCAGTTTCTCAGAACTGGTTTTTGAAGTTGTGTCTCCTGAGTAATTTTAAATTTCACAGAAAATGCTTTATTTTCTTCTAAAAAGACTTTCACTCATATTCTAGTATGTGTTTATTACTAAAAAGAAAGAGAAGAGCCAGGTGTGGTGGTGTACACTTGCAATCCCAGCACTTGGAGGTAGAGAAAGAAGCATCAGGACTTGAAGATCATCCTGGGTTACATAAGTAGACCCTATTTTAGAAAGTGACAGGAGGCTGAGCAATGGTGGTGCACACCTTTAATCCCAGCACTTGGGAGGCAGAGGCAGGTGGATCTCTGCGAGTTTGAGGCCAACCTGTTCTACAGAGCGAGTTCCAGGACAACCAAGGCTACATTGAGAAACCCTGCCTTGACCCCTCCCCACCTCCACCCCTCCCGAGAAAAAAAGAAAAGAGTGTCAGGAGAACCATTCCTATTTGATATATTATCTGTCCCCTTCATGTGTTTATGTAGATTCATGCTTTGTTTTGTTTTGTTTTGGAGACGGGTCCTTCTCCTGTTGCCCAGTCTGGTCTTGAAATCCTGGGTTTGGTCTGGAGAGATGGCTCAGTGGTTAAGACCTTCCAGAGGACTCGGGTTCAATTACCAGCAGCCCCATGGTAGCTCACAACTGTCTGTTACTCTAGGAGATCTGACTCCCTCACATAGACAAACATGCAAGCAAAACACCAATGCATATAAAATAAGAAAGAAATTAAAAAGAAAATCCTACATTCAAGTCAT